TGGGGCAGCTACTATGTGTTCAGGCAGCTCGAGCTTAAGATCCAGATCAGTTCGGTCAGGACTCGGATGCAAAGGAGGACTCGATCCACGACGCTATAGAGCACAATCGCGGCATGGCACATCGCAATTCAGCACGGCGCAGCACAGCACAGCCCTCGGCAGGTACATCAAGATCGATACACTCAGCATTGCAACTTGGCACGTTCCTTGGCACGTTCCGTGGGGCGTCCCTTGGCGAGTCCCCCTGGCACGTCGCGTGGCGCGTCCCCTGGCACATTCCGTGGCACATCCATTGGCACGTTCCGTAGCGCGTCCCTTTGGCACGTCCTACGGTGCGACCCCATGGCGCGTCCCCTGGCACGTCGCCTGGCGCATCCCTTGGGACGTTTCGCGGCGCGTCCTCCTGGCATGTTCCCCTGTCCATTAGCTCTGGGGCAGCTACTATGTGTTCAGGCAGCTCGAGCTTAAGATCCAGATCAGTTCGGTCAGGACTCGGATGCAAAGGAGGACTCGATCCACGACGCTATAGAGCGCAGTCGCGCCATGGCACATCGCAATTCAGCACGGCGCAGCACAGCACAGCGCTTGGCAGGGTACATCAAGATCGATACACTCAGCATTGCATTTGCCCGTCACCCAATCAGGTGTCTTTGAAAACGCTGCCATGTGTTACAGTTCTATGTTCCTTTCCGGGTTCGTGGGTCGATCATGTTCCTGACTCCGCCGATCTGCGTGAGGGAGGTCACCGAATTTCAGGAATGTGGCAAATCCCAATGGTTTTTCTACCCTGGCCCCGGCGATTTGCGTGAGGGGTGCCGCCGAATTTGAAAAATGTGGCAAATCCCATGAGTTGTTCGACCCTGAACCCGCCGATCTGCGTGAGGGGTGCCGCCGAGTTTCAGAAATGTGGTAAATCCCATTGGTTGTTCGACCCTGACCCCGCCGATCTGCGTGAGGGGTGCCGCCGAATTTCAGAAATGTGGCAAAACCTATAGTTTGTTCGACCCTGACTCCGCCGATCTGCGTCAGGCGTGCCGCCGAATTTTAAAAATGTGGCAAATCCCTTGTTCCACCCTGACTCCGCCGATCTGCGTGAGGGAGGTCACCGAATTTCAAGAAGTGTGGCAAATCCTATGTGTTTTTGGACCCTGACCCCGCCGATCTGCTTGAGGGGTGTGAATTTCGACCCTCCCAGTAATTCTGAGAACCCTCTCAGGAGACGCTAGGTTTGCTTGTTGGCGGCTCCCCTCCCTCGCGCGGTCTACAACAAGGAACTGCAAGCAGCATAAACCAATACTGTAACAGTGGAAACTGGAAACTGGAAACTTGAACTGCAGGGAACAGCAAACCCTGGTCCTACAGCTTGGTGGTCCCGCAAAGGGGCCGGCGGATTCTTCGTCCAAAATACGCCCCGACCTAACCCTACGGAGGTCTCCTCGCCCACGATGGCCCCACGGACCCACAGAAGCCTTGAGGCGCAACGGAGGTGCGCGGTAAGTGCATGTGATGGATGAATCCTGAGATCGGGCGGGACGGTTCGCTGAGATGCCACCGACGGATGCAGCAGGACGGCTGCGGCTTGCCCCGCTTGCAGGTGAAACATTCAGCCAGGAATCGGAGCTCCATGGGGCAGCCATGCCCACTGCTACCACCTGGCCTTGAGGGAGTCACTGACGAACGGGAAATCCCTTCCGGCAAGGGGGGCGCGAAAGCGGCAAAGACCCTCAGAATCCACATCGATCGATGACGCCTGTGCCCCAAGACTTCTTGTTGTAGGACTTCCCGTTGTATGTGTCTACTGTGTACGGGGCGGCCTTGGCCCGGCATGGTGCAAATGCATCGGTGCCCTCTGCGTGTGCCAAGCCCCCCGCGCTGTTCCTGCCACCTGCGCGGGGCGGTCCCCCGCCTTGGGGCAGCACGTCGGCGAGTGGACTCCGCCCTCGCCTCGTCGGACCGGCGCGTCACGGCTGCCACGCGCTGCCAAGACAAGGCCCGCCATCTGCTCCCGTCGCTGGCGCTCATCACTGCCCAGATCTTTCACGTGAGCAGTAGTGTTGACAAGTTGGGGGAAAGAGAAAGGCAGAGAAACAAGAGAACGAGACAGAGAGAGAGAGAGAGAGAAAGAGGGAGAGAGAGAACCAAACAAACATACATCGGGCGTCGGGCGAAACGTTGTAAACAAAAAGGCGAGGGCACCATGAGTGGATTGCCCCTCCAGCCCCCCTTTTCGGGCGTCAGGCATCCCAGACAGAACGCAAGGCATCGGGACGGGCATACGGCATACGTCAATGCGCCAGGGTTCTAGGCGTCCGCTGTCAGACGAAAGAGCCATGTGTGAACACGAGTGGTTCTCGACAGGGCAAGACCTCCGCGTCGATGTGTCCCCCAAGCCGTTGCCCTTTCTCCTTGGCCTCGCCCATTGCCCCTGGCCGCTTCCCAGGCTGGCCTGAGGAGGAGGAGGAGGAGGAGGAGGAGGAGGAGGAGGCGGAGGCGGAGGCGGAGGCGGAGGCGGAGGAGCAGGAGGATGCAGATGACGACGGTGGCGGTCACAACAAAGGGGGGCTCAGCGACAGAAGGGAGCTACAGCTTTCAGTGCTGGCTTCTCAGACGGGTCTCCACGGGGAGGGGTCTTTGGGGCTCCTTTCCATTGAACGCCCCTTCGGAGGCAGACACCGCCGCCCCACTGCTGTCGGAGCGCAGTCGCTTCTGCGGCAGCTGTGAGAAGCTGTGGATCCCGCGACGGGCCTGGGCGATGCTCGCTGCAGAGAGCAGTGGGCCTCTCGAGCAGCCTCCCTGCCTCTCTCTCCCCTCCCAGCGATGAGCGCGAATCCGTCTTCTAGTCGCCATGTGGATTGCCCAGCCTTGGGGTCGTGCCCTCGTGTGCGCGCCTCCTGCGGTGACATCCCAACTCTGATTCTGGGGCGAAGGCGGCCCAAGAAGGCGCGAACAGTTACCGAGAGAGCCTGCTCCTGGAAGCTGGGCAGGGGCCCGAGAAGCCGCAGAGACGCCGGAGCAGACAACAGAAACAGCAACCGTCGGGCTCGGCCCAGAAGAGGTTGCCCTGGGGGCCCCGAGGGGGCCTTGAGAGTGGCAAGGATGTGTCGCGTGCGGCGGAGTGGTGTGAACGAGGGAAGCGGGGAAGGGGGAAAACATACCGACTTCGTGCTTGGTTCCTGGCGAGGCTCCCGCGCACGACTCGCAAAGCTGCCCAGAAGGCGCCCAGAGAGAGCTCGGGGGGGGGCCCGAGAGGCAGTCGGGACGGCCGCGGAGAGGAGAGATGCACGGAAGCTCCAAGAGAGGCGCAGGGAGAAGTTCAAGCCGGTGGCTCGTGAGAGCCCGCAGGTGTTCGGAACCCGAACGAAGGCGGAGAGGCATCCAGAGCGGCCCGAGGTGGCCATAGTGACGAGCAGAATGAGCCCAGGAGGGTCCCGAGGGGCCCCGAAGGCCCCCAGAGACCAGTCTGGGAGGCTCCCAGAGAGGTTTCCGAGAGGGCCCGGCGGCGCCCAGCAAGTTAGCGCCTGGAGCGGGGGGGGCGTCTTGGCGCAGGAGTGGTGGCCAGACGGCGCCCCGCCCGCGCCCGAGGCCCTCTCGGACGGGCGGGGTGAGCGGCCCCCAGAGACGGCTTCAGGAGGGGGCCGGAAAGGCTCGGAGGCAGGGGCAGGTATGCGGAGTGCGTCGGTGAGGAGACTCCCGAGAAGCAGTCCTTGCAGATCATGCGGCGGTGGTCTCACACGCCGTACCCAGTGGGGCGGCGCATCGCTCTGCATACGTTCCGCCGGCCCAGGCTGTTCCATCGCGGGCGTGTGCACACGTGTTTGTTGCCACCGCGTGGTTGTCGTGAAGTGCTGTGGCGTCTCGGGGCAGAGGGCTCAGAATGGCTCTCCGTGTCCCCCCTCCTGGGCCCCTCGTGGACTTCCCTCGAGGCCCTCTTGGGCCGTCTTGGGAGCCTCTTGGGAGATCGTTGTAGCACCTTTGGCACGTGCCCGCGCGCTCGCGGAGCATCGTTGGAGCCTCTTGGGGGCCTCTTGGGGGCCTCGTAGGGCCTCCCGCTGCTGCCTATCCACGCGGGAGCGATGGAAGAATCACGGGGCAACTGCGCGGACATTCGCGCGGAGGACGTTTGCGTAAGGTCGCGCGTAAGAAGCGCCCTCGTCTCCCATGGCGCGCGCGTGCGCGCTGGCGGCCCTCGTACGCCACCGCGTACGGTCGCTATGTCATTTCGCGTAAGGCTCGTTTCTTGTCGTCGCCCACGTGGCGGCATCACCTTGCGTGGCACCATATTGTCCCTTGGCTGCGCGCAGTCCTGCTCTCGGTGTGCTTCTCGGAACACAGCGCCTGTCTGCCCGTGCTGGGAGACCACGTCTCCGAGGCGGAGTTCATCCACAACCACCGCCTGAACCTCAAGATTGTTTTTGTGTGCCACGCCCTCACTTCCCAGTCAGACTCCACCGCCCGGGGCCACATCCAGCATACAAAAAACACGCCTCAGGGGGTGAATTTTGTATACCAGACCCACGACCAGGACCCTCGCTCGCCCCCCGGGGCATTTGATTATGGTATACAAGTTGTCGGGCGGACCTGGGGGATCGATCTTCTGGGACCTCGGCAGGCGCTGAACATGACTAGATTCGGGCCCCCCAGGGCCGCACTGTGTCCATAGTCCCCCCCCCCTTGGAGTCCCAGGATGTCGATTGCCCCGGGCGGTGGATCTGGATAGGTCTTGAGCGTCGCGTGATGCGGGGGCGAGAGATGGAGGGGCAGCGAGGCTGCAGAAAAGAGGCCCTCTGGGGCCCCTGCAGGGGCCCCCCCGGGCCCAAGAAGGGGTTCCTTCCGGGCCCGAGATGTGCACCCTTCTCTCCCCCCTTACATATATATATATATAGAGAGAGAGAGAGAGAGAGAGAGAGAGAGAGAGAGATCGCCCCCCCATCAAGCGAGGCTTAAAGGTCCCCGCCTCGCAGCGCTCCTCTAGCCCAGTGCCCTCCTGGACCCCCCCCCAGCCAGGAGCCGCGCGCCCGCCCCGAGCTGGCGGCGACCGCCTAGCCCGGCGGGCGCGGCCGCAGCGCGCCACGCGCCCGACTCGCCGCGGGGCCCTCGCCGCGGGCCCTGCGCGCCACGAAGTGGCCCGCAGCAGCGGCGCCCCGTCCCTGCGGGGTCGCAGAGCCTTCGGTCCGGAGGACGTGCAATGGGCGGGCGATAGACTCGGGGGGTAGCGAGGGCTGTCGAAACGGGGCTGGCCCTTGAGAGCCCAGAGAGGACCTAGAGGGCTCTAGAGGGCCTTAAGAGAGCCCCTAAAGGGGCTGGCCTTTCAGAGCCCAGGCAGGGAGTCTTCAGGGCCAGAAAGGGGCAACTTTCTCACCCCCCCCCACTTTGCCTTCCCAGGAATTTCGCGCCCCATGGTTTTCTCGGGCGTTGCCAGAAGTGTCCCTGGCACGAGGCGCCCCCCAGAATTTCCGAGGAGGCCCCCGCGGCCCCCCCGCGCACCCCTCACGACGCCGCGTGGGGGCCCAGGGGCTCCAAGGGGGAGCTGGCAGCTGGGGGGGAACCTTGAGCCAGGGGCACCTTGTCGCAACCTCAGCTGCCTCGATACGCCCGTTTTGATGCGCAGCACGTGTCGTGCTCAAGACGTGCGTGTCCATACGTTGCGTGTTGGTTCCACGTGTTGGCCCACGTTTGGGCGAACGAATCGCTGCAGACCCGCGTCCTCGGCCCACGTGCTGACCTCCGCACCAGCAATGGAGGATGACGATTAATAAATGACCGGGGGTCGTGTTCACGCGGCGGCGCCCGGGATGACGATTAAGAAAAAGCCGGCCGCGGGCCGGAAAACTAGTTGTTTTAACCGTTCTCCTCCAGTCAGACAATTCTGCAGAAATAGCAGACAACTATTTTTTGATCGTTGCTCTCCCATTCTTTTATTCATCGTCACCCGACAACTATTTTGTGATCGTTCTCTCCCATTCTTTTATTCATCGTCACCCCGCAGTGCGCTGCGTGTTGCGCACCTGCGCACCTGCGCCGCGGAGCTCGCAGCGCCCGCCCTCCGGGGCCCCGCCCCTGGGCCTCGAGGCCTCGGGGCCTCGTGGGCCGAGGCGCGCGAGGCCTCTCGGCCGCCGGGGGCGCGCCCTCCTCGCCGCCACGGGTGGCCCGCGGCTCGAGAGGCTGGAACCTGTTTTTTTTGTTTCTTGGATTCAGGCTAGTCTACTTGCATGGCGTTCGCCCCCCCCCCCCTCGCCCCTCTTCAAGCGAATACTAGCGTGCAGGTGCCTTTCGACTTGCATGATTTCCGCGCCCCCCCCCGAACGTGCAAGTCGTTTGCGCCTGGCTTCAGGCTCAGCCCCCCCCCCGTCCATGCAAGTAAACTTGCCAGAGTCTAAAAAAAAACAGGCTCCTGGCGCGCTGGAGCCCCGGGGGAGGGCAGGGCTCATCTCGGCACCGCCGATGCGATCCGATGCGGTTTCGATGGACCTCGATGCCGATTCGGGACCTCGATGCCGATTCGGTTCGGCTTCGGGTGCCGATGCGGGCTCCGATGTCGCATTGGAGGCCTCCCAGTGTGCCGATGTTTGCCGCTTCGACTTTTCCCGACTCGGCTGCCGATGTCCGCCGATCCGGTTCATTCTGATTGCAGATCCGACTTATCGATTCGATTCTAGGCTCTCCTGGAGGTGTCCGGGGACCCATCTCGAAGAAGAAGAAACGCCGTAGACATTTGTTTTGGGCGCTCCGCGCGGATTTCTTGGATCTGCGCTGGACCCCCTCCCTGGCGCGCGGAGCGCGGATCCAAGGAATCCGCGCGGAGCGCCAAAAGTTGAATGTTTATGGCGTTTTTTTTTTCTCTTCCACCATCGTGAGCGCATTCCGGCCCGGGGAGGGGGAAGGTCGAGTCGGACGAGAGGGTGTTGTGGTACCTATAGAGATCCGGCGCCCCACAAAAGTCGGAGCGGGCGGCGCTGGGCCGTTTTCAGGCTCGGGGGGTCCTCGCCGGGGCTCGGGAGCGTCCAACAGCGACTCGGGACGAAAAACCGGCCCCAGGGAAGTGGTCCGGACCTCTGCACATTTTGTTGATGTCTAATTCTTCGGAAGTTCTTTGAGTTTTTTGGGGGGGCAGCGAATCTTTTCATTTCTAATTGTTCTATCCTGGGCCTCTTCCTGGCCACTAGGGGGGTCACGACCAATTAGAAACGAGCACAATTAGAAAGGAGCACAAGTCGAAATGGACGACGTCTAGGGCCCACGCATCGAAGAAATGGAGCGGCAGGGCGTCTGGGCTTCGAACTGCCACCACCAGTGCCACCACGAGCGGGCCCCCTCCCTGGGAGTTTCAGGATGCCTCCGCGGAGCCGGAGACTGGAGCTAATTCGGGCTTGTCCATCTACAGGAGGACTATTCCAACATAGTCAAAAACTAGTCGGAGGACGATTCGTCTAGTATATTTTGATCATGTTGAGGTAACTGTCACTATCTTTAATTTGTTCTTCCAAAATCCACCTGTAGGAGGACATGCCCGACCTACGACCGGAGAGTCGTCGAAGAGGGGGTCGGCGCCAAACAGGGAGCCTGCCTGGCTCCTCGCGGTGGCGAAGTCGTGCCAATTTCCGTTGCTCCTAGCCTTAAGTCGGGCCTGTCCCTCTACACGAGGGTTATGCAAAAGTAATAAAAATATAGTATGGAGACGTTTTCATTGCTATTTCTGATTATTTTGGAGTCGTCCAACATCCGCCTGTAGGGGGACATGCCCGACCTAATCCTAGCCCAGTTCGGCGGCGAACGAGGGGGGGGGGAAGTGAGAAGGAGAAGGCCTTCTCAGAAGGCTCGGAGGTCCCCCGGCCTTCTGGGAAGTGTTCTAAGCCTTCCCCGAAGATTCATCTGACAATTTTTCGGAAGGCGCGAGGGCTTCTGGGAAGTCCTGCCGCCTTCTGAGAAGGCCTTCTCCCTCTCACTTCCCCCCCACTTGCTCGCCAACGACCCGTGGCCAATTCATCTGGGGGCTCGGGGCCCCAGGGGCTCACTCGTTCAAATGCAGGCCCGATCGTCCCAGAGGCAAGGTCATCTGGGGGCCTAGGGTTAAGTCGGGAATGTGCCTCTACAGCGGGAATGTTTGATTATGTTTTGGATTTGTTTCTGCGTTTCTTCCGAAATCCGCTTGCAGGAGGACGTGCCCGACCTAAGCCCAGGGGCCTCATGGGGCTAACTCATCCCAAGGCTCAGGGTTGCAGCTGGACTGTTTGGCCCAGGGCTCAGGGTGACCATCACTACCAGAGCGCATCTTCCGGCCCCCCTTTCTCCCAGGAGGAGGAAAAGGAGGAGGAGGAGTCGAAAGAGGAGGAAGAGGCGGGGGAGACAGTGGACGGGGTGGTAGCGAGGTGGCACAGGGCGAGGAGGGGGAGCGGCAAGGAGGCAGCGGGCGGGTGCAAGGGGAGCCCAGGCGTGGTCGCTCTCGGCGCGCATACGGTCGGGAACAGTCGGATCGCGTGTCGCTCCGCCGGCTCTGGCCCACCACGCTTCGGTGCGACGCGCTACCCCCTTCGCGGTGCCCAGGCGTCCACGTGCCGAGCTTTTCCCAGCCTCACCCCCCGGGGATCGTAGCGACACGCAGTACGCGTGCAAGGCATGGCGTGTCGCCGGGGCCGCCGCCGCGACACGCTGTGCAAGAGTTGCCGACCGATGCCCTGGCCCCGCATGCCAGACATGCCCGCGGAGAGTCCAGGCATCACCCCTTGGGATTTTGGCTTGGCGACCCCTCTGGGAGGGGGAGTGAGCGGCGCCCAGTGGGATCCTGCGCTTCCAGAGGTGCACGGCCTGCTGGGTGCTCGGGCGTTTTTTCTATCCGTTCTTTTGCGCCTGGTCCTCGTCCCAGCTGTTTTCCCTGCCCCTGCTTATGCGCCTCCGTGTCCACCGAGGAGGGGCGGGAGGGGGAGGGGGAGGGGGAGGGGGAGGAGGGACACGGGGAGGGCGAAGGGGAGTGGTTGGGGGTGAAGCATGGGAGGAGGAGGAGGAGGACGAGGAAGAGGAGGAGGCGGAGGAGGAGGAGGAGGAGGCGGAGGAGGCCAAGAAGTAGAAACAAGAGGGGGGGAAGGAGGAGGAGGAGGAGGAGGAGGATAATGAAAAAGAGAAGAACGAGGTGAATTGACGTCGCGCGAACTGATCGCATTGCAGGTGCAAGAGAATTCCAGACCACGAGTAAAAAACAATCATAATATCAATCACTTTGTTCATACTAATAGTTATAACAGTAGTAGTGGTAGTGATCGTCGTAGTGGTGGCAGAAGTAGTGAAGTAGTATTAGTAGTAGTAGTCCTCGCTGTTGTCGTAGTATAAGTTGCAGCAGTAGTAGTTGTAGTAGCCGTAGTACTCGTAGTAACCATAGTAGTACAATGAGTAGTGGTAGTAGTACTCGTCGTCGTAGCCGTTGAAGTAGTGATAGTAGTACTAGTAGTACTAGTAGTAGCCGCCGTAGTAGTAGTAGTAGTAGTAGTAGTAGTAGTAGTAGTAGTAGTAGTAGTGGTAGTGGTAGTGGTAGTGGTAGTGGTAGTGGTAGTAGTAGTAAGCAGTAGTAGTAGTAGTAGTAGTAGTAGTAGTAGTAGTAACGAAAGTAGGAATTCTAGTAGTGGTAATAATAGTAAAAGTAGTAGACATCGTCGTCGTCGTTGTCGTCGTAGTAGTGGTAGTAGTAGAAGTAGTCGTAGTCGTAGTCGTAGTAGTAGTAGTAGTAGTAGTAGTAGTAGTAGTAGCAGTAGTAGTAGTAGTAGTAGTAGTAGTAGTAGTAGTCGGAGTAGAAGCACTAGTGATAGTAGTCGTGTTAGTAGGTTTAGTAGTACTAGTTATAGTTGTAGTCGTAGTAGTTGTAGTAGCAGTAGTAGTAGTAGTAGTAGTAGTAACCGTAGTAGTAGTAGTAGTAGTAACCGTAGTAGTAGCAGTCGTAGTCGCCGGGGTGGTAGTAGTAGTAGTAGTAGTAGTAGTAGTAGTAGTAGTAGTAGTATTAGTAGCAGTAGTAGTAGTAGTAGTAGTAATAGTAGTAGTAGTAGTAGTAGTAGTAGTAG